TCTTACATTACTATTTCTTAGGAAATTCACTTTGGCAAGATAAGCTGAACATGCTGCATCCTCCCCAGGAATTTATGTGGAACTGAGCTGCCTCCTCATCCATCACAACAGAGTCTCACTGCTTCCCTAGGCCAGAGTACCTCTGAGCACTGAAAAGCTCAGTAGCCTCTGTCTGTGTGTCTGGTGAAATCTACGGCCAAAAATTGAGTCCTTTATTGGTTTTAGTCATTCAAAACCAGCTCCAGCTTGTGCACATACATGTACACTCACATCTTCCTTAAAAAGAAAGTCAGTTGTGAAGAAGCTGTCTTAGAAGCTGTCTTCATGAAGTTAAGGTTGTGCAAAATGTGGGTGTTGTTGCAACTGTTTGGTGAAGCCTTCAATGTAAAGCAGACTCCCTCTGATTCTTAAAATGTCCTTCTAAGAATTTTGGGTTTTGGCTGTTATTATTGTGGCTGTTATTCTTGTGCAGTGTGTTTAAAAAATGAAAACAAAACGGGATATTAGTGCTTCTAGCTTGGCAAAACTATAAGTGCATTATATGATATTCTATAAAGCTACTTTCTATTGGGAAATTGCTTGCTAATTCCTTTTGCAGGCCATATTATTCTGCAGATCTGATTTACCTTCCCTTCTTTCAGTCAGCAGCTCTGTACTGCTGAGCCTAACTTGCCATGTTAGCGCTGTCCTGAATGGGCCTGTGGGCAATTCCAGGGTATAAATAATGCAGTGTAACTGTAACAGCTTGTGCTGTGACAAGCAATTAAGATGATTTTGATCATTTCACAGATATCTGGTAAAAGAGTAAGGCAGTTTCCTAGCACATGAGCTGCTAGTTTATGGCTCTAGTCTGTACCTCAGACATTATCCTATTGCCAAACACCACTTAGATGAAGAAACTTTGACTTGGCTGCCAAGCTTTCAAACATTAACATCTCTTTTATATCCACCCTAGTCATTTAAACTGCCCTTTTTCTAGAAGTTACCACCCCAAAAGCAGAGGCAGAAGACTCCAGTCCACACCTGCTGCTTTGGTGGGAATTCAGTTCCATCAGTGACTTAAGCTGTGATGCCACAATATTTCTGCCCACTCTATGGGGCAGAAAGGATGCCCAAGCAGAGAGGCAAGACCAAGAGTGAAGAACACCATGGATTTAACACACCCCAACAAGATTCACCACAGCTTAAAGCCCTAATCAGGCCTGTCAAAGCCGTAATCAATGCTTTTTTTTTTTTTTTTTCTCCCCATGATGACAATAACGGTTTACTAGAGATGAGTAGCTGGCCAACCTCTCTACACATGGGCTGTTGACTTATAGAGGTTACTCACCATCCTCATTACCCAAACAGCTGGTCTATTGAGCATGATTTTATCAGCAATTTGGATTGTCCTTGGCAGGAGATCTTCAACTGAAGAATGACTCAATATTTTTGAAGATTGAATTATACAAATGATTTCATTTGATTGAAAAAATACCCAACAATTAAATAGATTAAGGTTTAAGGAAACAATTTAGACTTAGTTTACTTAAAAAAACCAAACAAACCAAAAAAAAAAAAAAAACAAAACGCAGTTTTAAAGAAATCAGCAAACTACTGGGCATAGAAAGAATTTAGCTCAGTGAGGTTTTTTTTTAATAGTTTGGGTCTTTTTTCTTTTTTTTTCTTTTTTTTTTTTCTTTTTTTTTTAGGAAAAGAACACCCAAATCCTCTTACATGTAAATTAAAAGCATGATTACTTTTCCTGCAGCTTTATTAAATATTGCTTTGGAATGTACATGTAGAATTGTGAGGGTAGGGAAGTGTTTTCTCTTCAGAATGTGGACTATCTCAGCAGTTATTTGGAGAGCCTATTATTCTGAAGCCTTTGTCAGAGTGCCTGCATACATGGAAATGCATTTCTTATCTAGCAAAGCCCCTACGGATTAGGATTTTTATGGGTTTATAACATTGCTATTTAATTTTTCTATCTAATTATGAGAAGGTTTCAGGGTTTTTCTGTCTTGTTTCGTTAAAGCCATTTTCACTTAATTGCTAATTCTGGAATATTTCTGGTTAACATAAGCACTCTACAATGCAAAATTCAGCTGCTTCGCCAGTTAGTTTTCACAGTCCCTCCTCTGTAACCACCCTTTGTCTTTCTCATCCTCCAGTAATGTTGATCCAGCTCCTGGTTTCTCTCTTCTACATCCATCCTCAACATTTTCTTTTCCCTCATCCATTGCAGATGCAGGACAAGTCTCACCTATCACTGAATCCCACCTTTTCTGGCCCTGTGATCAAAATTGGCTTACTTGGAACCTCTTTTCCTAATGACATATACATGTTCCCCAGGCCAGAAGAGCATCTCTGGCATCCCTAAGGAGGATGCAGAGTGCTGTCCTGTTCAGCATCCCTATGAAAGCCCTCTCCTCTGGGAGTAACTGAATGGGCTGGGAATGAGGCTTATAACCCCATTCTATCTATTACACACAGAAGCAGGAAGCTTCTGTGGAAGAAGAGGACCAGATTTCACTCTCCCACTGCCACCATTTCTCACATCAACAAACCAGCCCAGGGTTCATTGCAATGCAGCTTTTCTGAGGGTATATTTTGAATGCAGTGTGTACATGTGTGGTTCCTGGGGCGACTCTTTTCATAGACTTACGTATAGAAAGCAAAGCATTGCAGATTAATCGAATTATCTATTCAAATGTAAGCAATAATTATTTAAATTTGTCTTGAGACTTTGAGATTAAGTCTTTGAAACATCATTTTTGGCCTTTAGGCTATAGTGAGTAAACCAGTCTCTAATAATTGAGGAAAGAGAAAAGACTAGAGGGTTTGGTCTATCACTAACCAACAGTTATTTATCCAAAAATATCAGTCTAGCTATTAAACTGCCTTTGAAGAGTACCTGTTCTTTGCTGATGACCTTGGTAACTCAGCATCAACCAGGCACTGATATTAACTTAAAATCCAAACCAGTTATTTAAATTCACTACCAATATATGTGGAAAAGAGCTGTGTAGTTGATGAGTTATCTGGTGAAAATCACTACAGCAAATTTCTCTATAATGTGTTAATTAATGTGTGAACATAGCATTCTAACACACCAGTGAGAACAGCACTCCAGTCAAGTCTAGGCATGCATTAATACATGCTCAGAATACTCCTGATCCAGAATATATTGTAGGAACACAGAGCTTCACAGAATTAATATATGTCCCCTGTTCATGGTCCTCATGTGCAACTGAAAGAAAAAGTTGTCAGATAAAATATTCCACAGGAATTCCTTTACTGACTTCATTGGCAAAAATGATTGATGTTATGTAAATATCTGATTCATGAATCAAGATTCTGATGGCAAAGGTGGTCTCAAAGAATCTGGCCTCACTGTGTGCCCAATCATATTTATGGAATAATTGGGAATCTCATTGCTGTGGTCACCAAAGAGCTCAAACTGATGAAAAAAAAAAAAAGAAGAAATCAAGAAAGAAGTCAAGAAATCAAGAAAAAGCTTATTTTGGCATTTTTTTTTTTCAGAGAAATAACCCAGAAAGGTGGCATTTCTCTTCACACTGGGGAGAGCAGAATACTAAGAAATGATTTGGCCTTTCAGGTAGGGATGCTGCCAAATGGGTTGATTAGGAACAAAACCAATCTTCTACGTAGGCTTGATTAGGAGCTCAGATGAACAGACTACTCCATAAAACACCTACTCTGTCATTTTTCCAAGTCCTTCTACTATATATTTGAGATACCTTTACTTAGAATTGGGAAACTTATTTCTGTGGCACTTCTACTAATGACTCTACATTACTACTCTCAGTTGCACTTTCTCCTTCCTTTTTTTTTTTTTTCCCCTCTAAGTAGTAGGAAGCTTATTTATGCCTCAGTGGAAGCAAATTTAATATTAATAGCACAGAAGATAATAGAATTCAGAATAACAAAAGTAAAGCTTCTAGAGGACATTACATAACTCCTGGTCAACCTGCTCAGTAGTGGCTGCCATTAACACCATCAGCAGTAGGGACAGAGATGAGTGTGGTTATTGGCACTGAGAATTTTAGGCCCTGTGCCAGAGCAAACATGCTTCAACACACACCAGGGGAGTAGTGTAAGGAAGGGTAACGTGGAGCATTTCTTCTAAAAGGTGTTTTTTTTCAATTTGATGCTATTTACTGTAGCTTTGCCATCAGTCCCAGTTCATCTGCAAATCCTCCCAAGAAGCATTTTGGAGACGGAGGGAAAACTCCTTGCTTTTTAGGAACCTGACAGGCATATCACTGAAAAATTAAAAAATAATGCAGTGAGTTTGTATTTAACCCTAGGAAACTATGTTTACCCAGTGTTTTTGACAATGGGATTACTACTAGCACCTGCTAGTAGTACCAGGAATCATGCACACCCAGATATTGTAAGGATTTCTAATGTTAACCATAACATTTAGTTTGTCGAAACTGAGAAGCTGTGTGTGTTGACATCTGGAAATTGGAGCTCAGCCTGTGGAGGGCCTTTATGCTCAATGTCTCCTGCTCCTTCACAGAGATTACAGATGCTACTCTTCCTCCAGCAGCAAAAGAACAGGGATGTTCTGAGTGCTTACAGGCCGAGGAATGAGCAGTTACACCAGTTCTTCTAGCTAAATCAGGACCTGGATGTGCTCTCAAATGCCAGACCCCGATCATCCATATTACCTAATGGTTAGCTCCTATATGGTCTCTTTTGGACCATTCGATGAGCTCTCTACAGGAAGCTCTACTCATATGGGAGTGAGTCCAGCTTGGCCACATCCCTGGCTCTCATTCAACTGTGAGTGTAGACATCACCCAACATGTGAGTAGCCAAAACCATACTCTTTAAACTTCAGTAGGCCATAAGCATGCCAGACTCTCTAGATAGACAACTGCACTTGAGGGAAAAAAATGCTCCACCAAGCCTGCCCTCCTTGCCTTTCTCTACTTTCATGGAGATAGGAGAGTGTCTAATGTAGCTGTGATGCTCTCACCATGACTTACCCAGTTCAAACTGGTTAGAAAGGTTATCACAGGTTTGTCTTACTTCTTCACTGTCCCAGCCAAGAGGATAGAGAGCACAACCAGAGCCAATCAACAAACCTATGGAGAGAAAAAAATATAGGAGTTTACACAAGTTTAAACTTAAGCCAACAGTTTAAACAAGGGCTAGAAGTCAAGCTGCCATATGGGAATCTCAGCAAAATAAAATATCTTCTTGTCCCTTAGAACAGTAGCAAGTTATTTTGACCCCAACTACTACATGGTGTTTTCCGAGGATGTCTGGACTGCAGTGTAGAGCTGAGCTGCCTACAAGGCTAGTTACCTGCTTGCAGCTGGTCTAAGTGCTGGCAGAAGCCTCATGCTTTTAAATTGCCATTTTATTCTGCAGAACCACTACATGTTCCGTTTGGAAACCTCAATACAGAGTTAAACAGCAGCTGTGCTAATCACAGCATTTATAAGCTGATTGCTTCTGATTAATTGAAACAACAATCAACCAGGGTCTATCATGGTTGCAGCAGGAGAAAGTAAACCAACTGTTGTACTAATTGCATGCCATTTTTCTTTATTTTCCACCTCTTCGAAAGCCAAGGAAGAGAGATTTCATGTCACCTGACCAATACCCTGTGCTGCACAAAGTTTTCAAACCATTTCAGCAAGAAACAACTGACCCTTTAAAAAAATAAATGTTATTGTGCTTGGTATTCACAACATTCTTTCCTTTCTCCAATACTCATGCTCTTCGAACCACATGTGTCTTAGCTAAGTCTTTTCCTTCACAAGATCTTGCTGGGGATCACCCCATGATTATCTTGCATAAGTGACATTTTTATCATATTGCATTCTCAGCGGTCATTGCAGCAGCTACCAAAAAGCAAATGTAGCTAGTAGGTTTTATTTCTCTATAACATCCTTTAAAATTCTGATAGATTTTAGAGGATGTTATAGAGAACAGTAGAATATTTATATTACATTATTTAAATATTCTCTCTTTTTTGTAAGATGTTTTTGTAAGACTGGAAAGTGAATCACTTTATAGATAACAGGTTGTGTTATCCATATCAGACGTGCCTGACACTTTGCAGGTTGGAAGAAGACAAGTCCTCAAAAGCTTGTAATATGATTTTACAATGATGCCTTTTGCCTATTAGATAGACACAGGGCCAGGACAGATTTTCAAGGCCTACAGCTACCCTGGATGACCTTGGACAAGTTCCTTGACTTCACAACACCTCACTTCTCTCTTGCAATAAGAATAGAAGTGATGTTCTCTAGACACTGCCACTTCCAGTGAAGAAAAGCACTGGGTATGGTGACAGAAGCACCATGGAAGTCACACAAGTCCCTTGAGTCCTGGAGCTATCTGTATTTTTACAGTTTCCATTCTCATGAAATCTAAGCTTCATACATAGCTGATGAACGTGTAAAGTACAGAAATCACCTTATAATTTTCCTGATATGCTCAGACACACCTGAACCAGGCACTGAAATCCAGAAGTGGAAGTCCATCTTTCCCCAAAAGATACTGGATGCTGTTAGTTCAGCAGTTCCTTTGCTGCTGCTCCATGCACATCTGCCCCTGTTCAGGGCCAAATATTTGCCCCTTAGACCTGCCTCCACTAAGTTCAAATTCCTTCTTGCTATTAAATTCTACTTCTTCCTTTTCTGGTTGGGCAACCCCTGCCTACTCCTTTCTTCATATCTACATTGCTTAATGGAAAAGAAATTCCTGAGACAACCTCAGATGGCACATTTGCCCAACAGCTACAAAAGGATAAAAGCAATTAAGGATACATGAATGCTAGATAGTTTTAGTACTTTACATGACCTGGATATGGTTGCTTCTAATGTCTTTGCTAACTGTGTTCACAGTACCTTCTGATTTCCCCCGCCCAGGGCTGCAGAGCTAATAGAAGCAGGTAGAATCCATGTAAATGAGAGCTGCTTCTAATTAAATTCTCAGAAAGATGCTTCTCATGCAAGGGAAATTAGGACAAAACTGGGTCTACATTTGTTAAAGACTCTCAAAAAATGACTGAATTTCACATGAACTGTTAAAGTTAAAAGGACCTCGCAAAGCATTAATAGCACTGTCTCCCAAAGTGCTCAATCGGCAGAAGCCTATGGGACAATGAAGAACTTCACCTCTGGAAATGAGAATAACGGTGAAAGGGAGAAAGAACCTGCTGAATCTGCCAAGAAAATGAACCAGCCTGGCTGAATTGCTTCAAAGCAATTGGATCTCTGAAGAGACTCACTGAGAGACCTCGAAATGCTAGAACGACTCCACAATGTGAGGGACAGGAAAAGGTGCACAGAGGTCTGGAGGGAAGCAGGCCTTACACTGCCTACACTGGATCAGCTGAAAGGGCAACAAGTCACAGATCAGTCCTGAGAAACCTCCTATCCAGTTCTTCCAGAAGAGCACAAAAGCACCATTGCAAGCAAGCTAAAGGATGGTTATCATCACGATGCTGCACATCCCTCAGAAATGCAGCACCAATCCTTCCCCAGCACTTGCCTAATGCAAGTGTCTAGAGCACACTGCACGCACAGAAGACTGCTTGCTTGTAGCTCCTGTGAGGTTTTTTTGGGGGTAACAGGTTGGTTTTGTTATTGGTTTTGGTCCTATCCCAGATATTGCTTACAACATTTCCCACCCTTCTAGAGCTTGTCCTTTTTAGAAGGTTTTGTACTCACTCTTTCTACCTTTGACAGTACACTGGATAACATGGCCATAAGCATTAGCCATTTCCTTCCTTCCTTAGCCAGACCTCTATACCTCCATAGCACACCCTCTTCCTCATTTCTGTGAGTTCATCTCTGAACTCACAGAACTCTCTCCTGAAGTCCAATTTCAGTGAATATAAATGATATAGGTGTCAGCCTACCTCATTTACTTGGTGTTTTTAAAATACTCCACCAAGTAGAGTGCCTTGGTCTGGATGAAACCTCTAATTTTAGTCTAAATTGTTCTTATCTGTGATGAGTAAAAATGAGTGCCTTGGTCTGGATAAAACCTCTAATGTTAGTCTAAATTATACTTATCTATAATGAGTAAAAATAATAACTATTAAAAATAACCCCAGATTTTTTTCTATTTTTTTTCACAGAACCAGCAAACTTGGATGGGCCCCACAGAGGCTTGATTATTCAAAGAAATGATGTCTAGTCCCAGTCTCTGATGAACTGATATAAATCTAGAAAAATTTAATTAGGGGATGTGTAAGTAATTTCTGGGAGTGTAAAATCAAGGCCTGTCTTGCACAAAATTCCAAGTGATGTAGCCAAAACAAATAAGCCATCCAATAGCATAGCGTTAAATTGCTCCAAAGGAGCAGCTACCTCACTCAGACATAGGTGCTTCCCATTAAAGCCAGTCAATCCTATCTAATAACCGGATCACATCACCTACCTCTGAGTCTTACCGTGCCTTCAAGAAACAAATACATTCAATAAGGGCAAACTAGTGTGTTGTGACAGGAAAAGTCCATAGCTCCAAAAGAGCTGGCGGTCCACTCAACTGTGAATTTCAGCAGTGCTGAGTTTCTTTTGTGGAGCACAAGCGACCATCTCCAGCATTTTCTGTTCTTCTCACAGCTCTCACTGACTGCAAAAATGAGATCAAGTGGGAAACTACCACTTAACTTCAGTGCATCCATGGCTCCTTTTGGGAGAGCCAATTTCTTACTTAATCTGGAATGGTAAGGGGCAGGGCGCTTTTCATATTTTCCAAGCGTTTTTGACAGATCAAAACAGCATTAGTATTGCTTGGACATCAAGCTTGTGAAGTGACCCTGAAATGTAAGCAGCAGCATGCTCATGTGCAAAGAACAAGGCAGAAAGCCACAAAACAGCTGCCTGCAGAGCTCAGTGGCTCTGTTTAGCAACACAAAACCCACTGGAGCCCAAGGGACTGCCAGGAGCACAGGGCCATGGTGTCATTGGGCAAAATGTCTCTTACAAATGCTGACTAATTTTGTGACAGGTACCATATGAATACAACTCCTAAAGCTATTGTTTTGTAATCTCTTTTGACATCATTGGATTTCAGCTGGTTTTGATTCACCTTCAAATATTTCCCTGTGGTGCTGTAGATACACCTCTCATGGATTTAGGTCTATTGGTGAAATGGTGGTTTCCTCATGTAGTTCTTGCATGCAGGGTGCAGGCTAGACTCACATTGCTGGCTTCAGTGTAAGATTTGCAAGAAGACACAAAGCTTCAGTAGAGTCAGTAAAGAGAGTCCCTTTTTTAAATATCACAAGTTTGGGTTAATGCTGTGTATATCTATAAATAAATATATAGATATGTATGAGCATGTGTGTGCCTGTATGCATAATGGTGCTGATCCTGCCTCATTCCTTTCAGATGGATTCTGCATGAATAAAACAGAGCTGGATACTGGCAAGCTCTGAATGAGCAGTGAGCATGGTATATGGGACTCCACAAACTGGCTTTAGAGATATCGCATATTATGAGCTGGACTGTGCCTTCCTGGTGCGATTAGGTCTGGCACAGACCCTTCTTCCCTTCCTTCCTTAGATTAATCCATCTTCATTTGTAAGCAACGATATGTCAATAACACAGTCTTGGAAAGCAAAAAGTCCATGTACTATAATCTCTAATAATTCATACACATGCCTTTAGCTAATTTGTCTTATCACAGAGAATGTAGATCCTGCAGAACAGCTGCAATCTTCATGTAAAGATCTGAGTTAAATACAAATGCTACAAGCCCAGTGGAAAAGGTTAAGCCAATTTTGCAGCTTCACTTGAGAGCAGCTACTGGTTTAGTTCAAGAGTGCACATGCTGACCTGCCCTATAGTTACTGCATTTAGCCAGCTAAGATATGCAGGACAGCATACCCATCTTTACAGCTGCTTAAAATGCTTAGGATGCCAATAACATTCTTTAAAGGAAAGGGGGAAAACCACCAAGCCACCCTGCTGTAATTACCGTCATCTGTCATCTTCCATTATCTACTACAGTCATTCAAAAAAAAATAAAAAGGAGAAGGGAATGTGCAGCAAGTTGTCCATAAACAACACCTTCATGAAAGGAGCTGCAGCTTGGAGATGCGGAGGAGTCAATAGGA